TCTTGTGACCAGCTTGGAGTTGGTAAAAATGGTTTTGAATTTCTTGAATTCTCTTCTGGTCTCTCAGATACTCCTCAGCTCAGGATACTGTTGCCAGAAGAGTATTGTAGTGGGCAGAACACATGAAACTTATCAAGCTAAAATAACTTAAATTATACAACTATACCTTAAAATGCTGGAATAAAGCAAGCAGTGAATATGCTGGGAAGGATAAGGATAGGGATAAGGGTAATAGTTACATGAAGTACCTTTGAATCACACAAAGGAAAGAATAAAATTATGGAGGCAGTTGTGAGGTTTTTCTTCTGCAGCCCACAAACTACATATTGCTGTTCTTCCATAATTGTGTCTTAACAAAGCCTGAGACTTTGACCTTGGAACACTGAGATTTCAGTCATTTGCATATATTTGGCCATACAGACTTTTTCCTTGGATTTTTGGAAAGTTTGGAAGTCTTCTATGTAATGTCATGTATTGTATCATACTCATTGCAAAAGGACTCTTAATTGGTTTAATTAATGTGTAAATCAAATAGTATTTTTCAGTCAAAACCCATGAATCTTCTTTTCTTCGAGGCCTTCAATACTGATAATGCATTGTTCTGTCAAGGGCTGCAGTCATCTAAACAGAAAAATGTTTCAATAAGCAATCTTGGGATTAGAAAACATTTTAAAGATTTAGTCTGCTCTGTAAAGTAAAGACATACTTCTGGACAAATAAATACAGACTACCATATTATGAGCTTCTTTGATCTAGATATCTCTTTCTATTAAGTTTGTTGATGGAAGTTAAATTTAAAAATTCAGTTCTTCTTCACAGTTCAGGCCATTAGCTAACCTATTGACAAGGGCTAGTTTCTACCTTTTGGAGGTCAAGGAAGCTGCACTGTTCTTCATCCAGTGCTCCCTGTAAACAAGCCTTGATGCTTTCTGATTGGATTTGTGTGCCCTGGCTTGCATAACCATACAGCTTGTATCCCAGCATTATTAGCCAAAAGGAATATAGGGACTTACATAATCATTACACGATTATTTTTCAGTAACAGTACTGTAAATATGTAATTCTCTCTGCTCCTAATAACTCTTAATCCCTTTGTTTCTATTGGCTCCTGGGCTCAGATTTGGCCGTGGCCTCCATGCCCTGGCCACTGATAAAACTTGAAAAAATTGTTACTCTCAGGGTTCACCTGCTTTGCTCCCAGCAGCAAACGTGGCACTGTGTTGTGGTGCAGGGGTACTGTGTTGTGGTGCAGTGTTGTGGGAGCGTGCGCAGCACTGCTGCCTCTGTTCCTGCTGAGAAGGGCCCACTCACCTCCAGCAACCTTTCATACCTGGCTCTCTGTGTATGTTCAGCAAAGACCTCTTTGCTGAGCTTCTTTGTGTGTTTTATGCTTGAGAATTCTAGTGCAAACAGTTTTGATCTCATTTCTGCGTGTTGTTTGAGAAAAGATTCTTCCTTGAGATCCTGTGGTGAGAAAATCTAAATTATCAAAAACTCTTGTTCCACTGCAGGTGTTGGAAGCCAGGAAGGGGTGATTTTCCTTTTGGTACAAGCAAACAGAAAAAGGCCCTTTAAGTCCTTCTTGAAAAAGCATGGCCCTATTCTGCTGTTTAGTTGTGATATCTGTGAGATTTGGTGGTCAGAGCTCTCCCAAGTTGTAGATCTTCCGATGATAACTTATGCTAGTAAAGTACCTTTCAGGTATCTTTGAAAATATCCTTAACTTTCATGCAAAATTGCTTTTCTTACTGCTTTTAATATTAGAAGTGTAACTTGTGGGTTTTTTAATTTCAGCCTTACAAAATAGTTGAAAATAATTTTTCTGTGTTTAATTGGCTTCATGAGTCAGTGCCTGGTCTTAGGTCTTGACATTTTTGGCATGCAAAATTTTCTTGTGTATTTGACCTTGGCTTTATTCCAGAATAAATATTTTAAGCTGCTAGTTGTGTGTAGTTTTTTTTTTTTTGTCTTTGGTCTGAGTCTAGGGGGCAGACATAAGGAGCATGAGGGAAGTGAAGTGTATAAACCACAATTAGAATTGCAGTGCACAGGTGTCTGTAGATCTTACACAATTGCCAAGCTATTTGTTTCTCAAATGATAGGGGCTTTGGGAGTGTATTTTGGAGAATAAAGGGAGCAGAAGGGCTTCAATTTGCATGTTAGGGTTGTGGGTTTGGTTGTTTGGCATTTTTTTGGGTTTTTTTGGTTTTTTTTTTTTTTTTTTTCAAATCCTGCTTTAAATTTTTCCAGACTTGATACATTTGATATCTTTACAGAACCAGCATATTGAATAGTTGAAAGTGATCTACTGTGGCTGGGGATGCAGTTTATAACTGCCTTCAGAGAGGAATCAGCATTGAAGAATAAAAATTTCTTGCATAATAGCTTTTCTTTGAGCATCAAATTAGGTCTTGTGGTTTAAAAATCTGAATGCCAGCATTGAAAATAAGATGACTTGTAATAATATTAAAAAAGAATGACTTTTGCATCAAGGTTATGGGTGAGTTCCGCTGCAGGCCCTTGAGAATCTTTTTGGGAAGAGAGGCATCTTAAATCTCTATGCTAGTCATATACAAAATATTATTGCAGTGAAAAAATAGTGAAGTGAATAAATAGCAGCTCACAGTACAGGATGCATGATGTATCAGGAGTTCTAGTGTTCCCTGTATTTTGCAATTTAATGCACAATAATTTTTTAGTTCTGTATTTGTGTATGTTCCACTCACTGTGTTGGATCTGTATTCTTAGGATGTGAGGTTCCATTAAAAAATAAATAATAATCGCAGCCCCCGCTCCCCCCACGTGCACTCATTTTCTGTAATATGGTAATGATATCACCGTAGCAGTAATTACGGGTCATCTTCATTTCTTTCATCTCTGCTGGTTCTGATGGCTTCATTCCTTTGACGGAGAAGATTTGGCTCTGGGTGCTGTGATTATTTTGTTAAGCATTATTCGAATAGACAGGAGTGAGAGAAATTAATCAATCCAAATGCAATTAGCATCATGTTTAACCCAGTGATGGACGTCTCAAGGTGAAACAGCCAGGGGAGTTTCAGACATTATTATTCAATCCAGTGGCTCTTATCTAAATTATAATCAAGAGGTTTTTATTGGCTTTGCAGAGAGAAGATGTAACTCTTTCCCTGCTTTGGGGGTCAAAAGGATCAGATCTTTGGCCCTACAAAATATTGGCTGCAGGCAGCTCCTAGAATTGGGAGGTACTGTAAGAGTTTACTGTAATATCAGGGTCACTCGGGACAAAATACCTGCACATCCTAGTATCTGTGGTCTGGAACATAAGTTTAGTAGCTCTCTGGTCATTGGCAGGGTTGTCTTTGCCCCTTGCATTTCATTCACTGACTTTGCCAGTCTGTATGTGAGTGAATACCGTTTGTAGTTTCAGCATTCAAAGTTCTGTGAACATCACAGTTTGCAACTGAATGCAAACAGAATGGTAACCTCCTTGCAAGGGAGGGAAATCTGGTTAGGAGAACAAAGTAAATTATTCTGCAGGGAAGTAATCTAATTTTTCTTAGAGCAGATATAATTTTCGTGTTTATTGATAGCAACAATTACATTTTTCAGGATTTATTAATCTGCAGCAGATCTGTTGTCACTGGATAATCCCAAATGATCTCGGAGATCTCTTATCAGGTATAAGATAAAACATGAGTACTGTATGTGGAGAAAACAAGGTGGAAAGAGATCATGGGAGGATTTCACAGTTCAGGAAGGCATTAGGTATTTGATTACAATTCTTAAGGCTCTAGCTGACACTCATAAAGCTGTTTCAATGGTTTAAAACTTTGTCAGTCTCTGCTATTTACCACTTTTCTGTCAGAGAGGACTGTTCTCATAGCATACTGGGAGGAGCAGTCCATGTGCTCACCTGCTCCGATTCACAGCCTGGCTTTGTGCAAGCTATCACCTTCTTTGGCATTTCAAAACAAGCCATGCCAGACCCTGAAGTACAGCTGACGTAAGGGCCCATTCTGCTATCTCATTCACCAAGGGAAGGACACTGGTATTTTGTACCAAGGGGGTGTTATTATTTAAAAATGCTGCAGCAAGACTTGACAGCTCATCTTTCAGAGCCTGAATTCTAGCACAGTTGCTGAATCCTTTTGCATACATCTTGTGCTGGTTTTGGCTGGGATAGAGTTAATTTTCTTCACAGTGGCTGGTATGGGCCTGTGTTCTGGATTTGTGCTGAACACAGGTTGGTAATAGAGAGATGGTTTTGGTATTGGTGAGCAGAGCCAAGGCCTTTTCTGCTTCCCGTACTGCCGCGCTGGCAGAGACTCCAGGTGCATGGAAGGCTGGGAGGAGACAGAGCTGGGATGCATGATCCAAACTGACCAAAGGGATATTCTAGACCACATGACACTATGACCAATGGATAAAGTGGGGAGAAAAAGGAGGAGGGGAGGGATGATCAGAGTGGCAATGTTTGTCTTCCCAAGTCGCCATTACATATGATGGGGCCCTGCTGTCCTGGAGATGCTGAACACCTGCCTGCCAAGGGAAGCAGTGAATCAGTTCCTTGTTTTGCTTTGCTTTCTCTGTTAAACTGTCTTTATCCTGACCCATAAATTTCCCAGCTTTTACCCTTCTGATCCTCTCTCTGATTCTGGTGAGGAGTCAGCTCTATGGCTGCATAGAGCTTGGCTGCTGACTGAGGTGGAAGCACAGCAATCTGTACTGAGGCTGTGATCCCATCTGTGAGGTGGGAATTAAATCACTGTATGTTTCAAGAATATTGTAAGGCTTGATAAACTTTGCAAGTGCTTTGATACTGATTACTGAGAGATGCCATGGTAATGCAAGCTTATTCTGTCTGGAGGTTTACGCTGATTGTGTTGTCTTACCTGAGGAATGTGTTTCAGGAGTGTTGGGTGATTGCAGTGATCTTCAGTGTCAGTATAACAGTTCCTGAAGCGCAGCTTGGAGTGTCTGCATGTGCCTCCAGTGAAGGTGACTGACCTTGTTTTCACTAGCCACTGCTCTCCTGAGATGGCAGTTCAACTCTCTCTGAAATTGGGCTTGGGGTAGAATTCACTGGTAAGTATTTGTCAAAGGCCAATAGTCTTCAACTAGCAGTTTATTTGATACTTATATTAGGAAGTAGACAGCAGATAGCAGAGTAATTGAAGCCCTTTCCATGAAGAAAAAGGTGTGAGCTGGTGCCAGGTGGTGATAGGATTTTGGGGGTCTGGTTTGAGATAGATCTGCTGGGACCAGCTTCTATCTGTCTGACAGAAGTTCAGATTATGTTGTCTGAGTAAAAATATTCTCTTGGTCTCGTCTGTCATATGCCTCTTTTTTCTTTGAGGGCTGTTCCAGTCTTAAATATTTTTGCTGATTTTAAGTTATCCTTTTGCATTCAACCCTCAGCCCCGACTTATTTTTTTATTTTCCTTCCACATGCAATATTAGTTGAGCCCAGCTGAAAGGTGTGACTTTGCAGTTGTTTTCACAAGTTCAGTCAAGCAAAACTCCCACAGTTGTTCACAGGCAGATTCCTCTAGGCCTTTTTTATGTCCTGCCAACTAAGAAAAAGAATCTCTGTGTCTTCTTATCCTAATGTTCTATCTCAGCACATAAGAAATCATTTCTGATGCAACATATTCTTGTGATAGAAGGTTAAAAACCAGTGAACTGCTCTGCTGTCTTTCTGCAATTCATATTCTTTGCCATATAATGGTAATTTGTATTGACAGTGCTTCAGAAATAAACCTTTCTAGTTTTGTTTTCTATGTAGTGCAAGGACACAGCAGTATTTTGAGGGCACGTGATTAGTACTTTAAAGGAATCCTTCCATGCTGAAAAACAAGTTCTTTAGCTACCATAAGTACAACTGCATGAGAGGAATAAATGATAACCTAACAAAGTATAACAGTGCCTAAAATAACCTTTTTGTAGGCAAGAATGTAGCATTCAAAATGTGACACTGCAAGTAATTTCAGTGCTAAAAACATTAATTGTATTTCTGGGTTCTATTAGTGGCAAGACATTTAGATTTCAGCAAGGCTACATTTTCAGGTCAGAGAGGGATCACAGTCAACTTTGTCCCAGAAGTTGTACATCTGGGAGAGAAGCTAAGATGTGCTTCTTTAGCAAGTGACTTCATATTGAAGTATCTATAATTTGTAGGTACTCGCAGACTTTGTTTTGAGATTTTTAGATAAGCCCAGAAGTGGTAAGCAGTGAAGGTATAATGTTCATTTTGAATGTGTGATAAATACAAGTTTGTCATGTATATCTTCTACATAGACTTTATCCCCAGGTGTGTTGTGGATATATTTAAGTGTATATTGTGTTTAAGAAGTGTGCAAGTATGTGTGTTACTTAGGATTCTTCTGGATGAAAGTTGCTTATATAAGTCACTGTTTTCCTTGCTGATTTTAAAGCAGTAAATCCTTCCATTATTTCCTGTCTATCCAGACCTTATGACACAGTATGTCCTGTGCTGTTGTATCTGTGAGAAGGCTTTTTATGGGGAGCAATCAGGCTGGACCCCAATCTCCAGTGCAGTGGTTTTTTTCTAATTAAATTGTCAGTGGAAGGAATATCCGGAACAGCAGTTTTCATTTTCAATCGAGGAAAAAACATTATGAGTCTTTGTCATTTGATTAAAAGTTACTTAACCTTTAAATTGCTACAGATGTAAAGATAGCTCTGAGTTTCCAATGTAATCGCCTCCGAGTTAAAATCAGGAAAATCTTTGTGTAATGAAACCCATATGTCATAGTGAAAGGATGCAAAGCACTGGCAGAGTGGGCTGCTCTAGCAGGAGATTCTGCACCCAATCTTGTTAACCAGGACTGCTTTTGGTAATCCCTCATCTCCTCACTTGTAGGAAATCAATCTGTACCACTGAATCTTTTCAACCAGCAACTATAAAATTTACTGCGGAGAGGCAGCTTGGGGACAATTGTAGTAAAAACGGAGCCCAAGGCAACAAGGCTAAATGTGGGATTGAGGGATTGAAGTTCTAAAGAGGAGATTATATTAAACCTTATTTTGCTCCTGTATCAAGTAGGAATGTCTCTTCCTCCTTTCAGCCCCAGCCTTTCCTATCCAATACCTGTTCTTGAGATCTGCTTGGCAGATCTTTGCCAGGCAGCAAACTTAATTCCTACAGAACAGCATTCTCTGTTAATTACAATAGCCTGATAGCATTTTTCAATACATTTGTCTGAAGGAGTTTATTCAAGCACTACTTCCAGAGCAACCAGTGCTGTTATCAACCTAAACTGTTTTTTTCTGTGGAGTTCAGTGTCTTCCTTCTCCCGAGTAGGTGGGGTTAATTTGTATCCAAGCTATTGCAATGGTATCCATTGTTGATTTTTCTATTGTAGTAGATGCACAGCATAGGCAAGGTTGTAAATCGTGACTTGTCATGCAGATTCATGTTTCTGTTTTGTGCTGCGCAGCCTCTGTATTGTGTGTCTGCTGGTACAATGAAATCTGTTCTCAAACCCTCTCTTCCCTTGAAGTCCATGGTTTAAACTACCATTGTAAAGAAAAAATCCCTGAGGTTTTCACTGTAGTTTTGTCCAACCTTTTAATTAAAAAATCCACCTCTATCTACTATTCAAATGCTTCTGCTGGTCCCTTGGGTAGTTGCTTAAAGCTGGTTTTACCATCTCTCTTAGCCTGCAATCGTATTTGGAATGTGGGTGATGGTTTCTTCATTCACAAGCTCTTCCCTCACTCCAGCAAACTCCATAAGACCCCAATGGAAATTATATTCCTATTATTAAGAATTCATTTCTCAGAAGCAATACTGAGCAGAGAAATCAGTTTAATATTAGAGCCATTTACTGTGCAGAATCCATCAAATCACATTCCAGAACAGATTAAAAAGAAACAAAGGTGAAGGAATAGCCAAGATGTTTGAAGGCAGTACCATGTTGTAAAAATTTGGCCTGTGTTTACCAGGAATACATTGAACTGTGGTTCTTGGGCAAATAAGAGAAGCAGCTGAAGCAGGGAAGACAAGATTGTTAATGCTTGTGGAAACTTGCCCTTAGTTTGGCTGTGGTTTTTCTGTCAAACAAGGATGTTACATCCTGGCCATTTTCATACATATACAAAGATAAAAGGTCCTTTTTTTTTTTCTCAGTTTGGCATCATATCTTTAAAAATAAAGCCCTGCTGCAAGCCTGAGTCTGTGAGGAGACGAGGAATACAGAATAGCAGAAGGCTGTCTCCTGCTCCTAATGGGATTTTGTAGCAGCATGTGCGAGTTTGTTTCAGAAGTCAGAAATGAACAGATGTTGGTATAAATTACCTCTGTGTCTGATGTCTTGCAAATTAAAAGCGCGGTTGGCATCACTAAACAATTTCACCAGGTTGGGGGGGGAAGCGGGTGGTGATTATTGTAGCAGGTCGGTAAGAATCTTTAAGCTGCAGCAGAACAGGATAGCAAGGATAAAGGAATGAAGAATAAAATGAGAGGTCTGTGAATTAATCAGAAATGTTAACATCTCCGATGACAAGCGAACAGGCAGGCACGTGCTCTGGAGCAGCCTCCAACCCACAGTAATTTCACTCAGTGTGCAGAAGGAGTCTGTGCTCTCTGCCTGATTTATAGGGTGCAGCCCTCTTTGGGGGAACAGAATTGTCATGCATTCGTATATCTCCTGTATGGGACTTGCACTCTGGAAAACTTTCCACTTTATCAACTGCAGTTCAGCTTAGCTGGTTTTCTCCTTAAGAGTGTTTTAAAACCATGCACTACTGTTGGAACAAGGCAGGGAGGTGTCAAAGAACTAAGTACTAAGAATCTATTCCAAACTGAAATTTAAAAAATCTTTCTGTTTTATTTAGTCATGTTCTTTGGGCATAACAACTTCGTTCCTGACAAAATACTTTCTGTTCTTCTGCAGCACCTTCTATCCCTGTGTCACTTCAGCAGCACCTAAAACATACAGGGTATCTTGGGGTTGGGAGGTAGAGATACAAATGAGTACTTTTGTGGTAGCTCATGCTGTGCATCAGAAGCAGGATCCCAGGTGATATAACTCACAGCTGGAGGCATGAGGCAAGAAAATAGTGCAACGATCTGCTTGAACCTACAGCCAGTCTGAAGCATGTTCCACTCAGGACAGTGGACTTTGCAGCCTACAAGTATCATTATGTAACAGACAGGTTATATGCTTTTAAATACAATTAATTGTTTTACGGGGATTTTGCTGATGACAATACCTTGTGATAAAATGTTATGTAAACAAATTAGAATGTAGTAATTTAAAGAAGAGGCTTTAAGACACAAATTCTAACTTTTGTGTAAATAATAACAAAATGTCTGTATCTGAGTGCGCACTGAGTATTGTAAGCTGAACATTTTTATTACATTTTAGTTCTGTTCTGACAGATAATCAATAATGTCAAAAGAAAACCCAACATCAACAAACCCACCTCCAGTTTTTATGCTAATATTAGTTTCTGATGTTTGTCTCAGTAGAGAAGTCAGAAGTTGAATGGATAAAACAAAAAATTAATTCCTTTCTCCTTCTAGACTGTCTTTGAGACTAGGTGTGGGAAACATGCATGCTGTCAGCATTCCTGTGCATAAAACCCTCCATGTTTTGATACCTGCCAGTCCAGCACAAAGCTTACACCTTTATTGAAAAGAAATGGAGGGGCACCAGTGGGAAGATTGTCTTTCCCCAGGCCTCAGTTGCTAATGGTGTTTTCTTTGATGCATTGTATTGTTATTGCAAGACAAGAATAGTATGAGGGCTGCTCTGCCAGCTTGTGAGCTTGTGGGTTCTCAAGTCAGAAATGTCTCATGCAGAAAAGTGGCTGTGTAAACCCTGCTGTAATACAGCTACCAGAGATTGATGGTACTGAGAGTGAGAGAGAGACATATAAGCCTTGCCTTGCTGTATTAAACATCGAAGGACTGACAACGCAGAGAGAAAGAGAAGACCAAAGCTCTATAAACTTTACTTTATTACCTTATCCACAGATGAACTACATTGAAGGAATATAAACCTCATTATATTACAGCATCCAGGGACTGACACTGCTGAGAGAGAGAAAATGCTGCCTAATTTCTGTTGAAGATCACATCATCCAGGGACCAATAATCCTGAAACAGAGAAAGAGAGAGTTCCATAATCTCTGACAGATTATAACATACAGGAACAATTGTGCTGAGATAGAGTGATGGAGATTTGGATTTCACCATTCAGAGATGGATAGTATAGGGAAAAGGAGGTGCTGCAAGAGCATAATGCAGTAGGAATAGAAAGCATAGATTGTATGTAATGAGACAGCCTGTGGGAATTATTGCTGAGTTTAGAAGATTCCAGACCCTGCCTGCATTTGTAGCATGTCAGGAATTCAAGCTGAAATGCAGTTTTATTAATTTTCCACTTAAATAGATAAATAAAATAATTCTTAGTTTTGATACAAGCACAAATCCAAATTAATTTCTTATCCTATGGTTAGAATATGTTATACAATTATACTGATTATACAACTGTTTGAGTTTATTGGCTTTTTAAAAAAATACTGATCTCTTTTTTCCTCCCTTGTGATTTCAGCTAGAGAAATGACTCGAGGGAAATTCCTGAACATCCTAGAGAAACCCAAAAAGTAACTGCATCTAACATTTGGATGAAAATACCCCAACTAAGTAGTTTTATGTACTGCAGATCCAGATGAAGCCCAGAAAGTCTAAGAAGAACAAAGCTCTTGCTGTAGACCTTCAGAAGCAAGCATCTCTTTTTGCTTCCACAGCTCATCTCTTCATGGGAGAAATGTACAATATGCAGAGGTCACAGGGACTGCAGTTGGTTGCATTGGAATTCGGACTTCATCTGACCATAGGATGTCCAGCAGGAGGACTTGGCCCTGACATGCTGTGACACAGTTACCTGTTTCAATCAGCAGCTCAAAGTGAACAGCCAGTGTCCTTACTCAGCTGCTCTCAGGGGCAGCCTGTTTGAGGTACACAGCAGATCTGACACTGGCCAGTGTCCATCATGAGGCCTTGACCTTTGGTGTGTCTTCTGTCTTAGATGCATTGATTTCCTGTGTGCAACGTCTGTGCTGAAGGATTCGAGCATAGTTTGGGGTGTGGATAGACCAGGAGCACCAGCACTCAGCAGGAGCACATGCTTTTAGTGTAGAAGCCAAGTGCAGTCTCTGCATCAGATTCCAGCTGCCCACTGCCTTCAGAGAAGCACATCTAGTACCTCGAGGAAGAGCTCCAGACCTTTTGTGTGCCAGGAGCTTCATTTCGCTGCTGAGTGGTTCTCTAAGTGAAATTGAAACAGACCACAGGGAGTAAGAAGTGTTACTGTGTCTCCAGGAAGATATCCTCACTGAAGCTTTGGCCAGTACACAAAGAAACAGCTTTGTCAGTTCTCTGCAATTCTTTGCTTCTTGTAGGGCTAGAAACTGGAAAGAGTTCTAAAGTTGAAAGATGGTAATGTTTTCAGTCCAAGAAGTGGCATCAGAACTGTTAGCCACATGGTGAAGATGGTCTGCCTATACAGGATCTCACTGTTTCTGAAAATAATGTTTTGTGGTATTTTTTAATTGCTTATAAACCAGCACCTCAAAACTTTCTTCTCCTACAAACCCAGAATTTTAAAGATAAAAACTTCTGTGAGCTGCTTTCTTTCAGAATACTCTGATTACCATTTAATGCCTTTTTCTTCTGTTCATGCAATTCTACATATTCACCCTTTGGAAGAGGTATAGAGCATGTTCAGACTTTCGGTTTTATTTAAGAAAATTTTTTTTTTCATTTCATCCTCTTTCCTTTTCCTAGAAAAAAACATTTTAAGCATTAGTAAATATGTTCTTTTTTAGGATACAACACAATGTTGAAACATAACATAATATAATTTTTACCGTGTATATTTTTACCATGCAGGCTTTTCAAATCGTGTCATTTCTCAGGCTGTAGTCACATATGAGAGGAGAAATTATTTGGAAATAGTACATGTAACAGGCTGTCCTTACAGCACTGCATTTTTCTGGCTTTGCAGAGAGAGGGGACTCTTTTTGGGTGTGTGTGCAATAAAGAGGGGGAGATTTTTTTGATCAAATAGACTTCTGAGTTTTACTGAATTGCTGGTGACCCTTTGGTTTGCAGTCTGTGGTTTTTGGTTATTGCCACTCAAAACTAGTCTTGTTTTGGACAGCTCTGATTAACTAAGTTTAAGTAGTTAAATCCTACATCCTGGAAAGACCCTGCACAAATTTAGAAATATCAGGAGCCTGATTTAAGACTTAACTGAGTTATTTCTGTCCTTCACAGTTTATGCAGGGCTGAGCTTAACAGGAACTCCATCCCTTGAGAACATGAGAATTAAGAGAGATGAATGAGAAGAGAAGCTGAAAGTGGTAGTTCAGGAACAGAAAAAAACCCGATGGTGAAAACTGATGTTGATGTAGCTTTAAGCTTGTATTATAGATTTGGAATGCAAATTTAAGTTTGCATACTATATATGTAATGTATGTACACATATATGACATAATGGGATACTTGATCTGTATCACCAGTATTTTATAGAGGTTTCTTTGTCCAATACATTAAGGAATTGAGATCTGAAAGGAGGATATAGGAAAATATATGAAAGCCTGTCCTGGAAGTATATGTGTATTTTCTGATATGTGCCGTAAGAAATTTCAAACTCTAGGTGGTTTTTAGTAACATACATATGTTAAAAAAAAAGAAAAAAAGAAAAATCTCCTTTTGTTATACACAGTAATCATCTTCTATAGGGCAGCCATTAACATATGCTTTAGAATTGTGATTTTTTTTTTTTATTTTGTACTTATCATCTGTAGAGATAAGTCAATGATGTTATTTTTTATTGACAATATGTATATGTATTTTTGTGTGTTAGCCAGAGAAATTTTTTCTGTCTGTTATTGCTTTTTGGTTTAATAATATGCAAATGCAAACCTCAGAGGTTTGTCTGGGTTTCCAAAATAGCCGTCTGATAGCAACCCAATAGTGGCTTTTGCTTGGCCACTTAGGCAATACTATTCCTCAGGCTCTTCTTCACTTATCTGCATGACACCATCTCAGGGTTTGGCCTGTGGATCTTCCATTCCCATCAGTAAATAAATATTTGTCAATATACAAATGCTACTAAGGGTTTTTGTACCCTTTTGAACCCAATTTTTTCCTTCAGTGCTATCCTTCCTGACATCCATGCAGCTATCTATCTGTACAAGAAAATCTGAATGACTTTTTGTTACTAATGGGAATGAAGAGTGTAAGAAAATCAAGATTTGGTAATATTAATCAAGCTGATGCATTGTTTTATAAAGTGTTTTCATGTATTGGTATATTAGATGTTACTGTGAGTTTCCTGGAAGTAAACTCAATATTTATTTGGTTCCTTTTAAATGCCAGTCTTACATACATTCAGTTAGAAAGGCTATTCAGTTTGGTCATGGACTATCAAATGTTTTGCTATCTCATCCAGCTGAGAAGAAATTCTTGTTTGTTATGTTAATCATTATGAAAATAAAAGTCTGTGTGCACTGGCAATTGAATAACGTGATATTCCATTTAACTCAGTGTTTTGCCATTACAAAATCAACAATTTTGTAATGGTCCTATAACTCACAGTTTTCAACTTCGATTAATGTTTCCCTCAAAAAGATACCTAGGTATGACTTAGTGAAAACTGACTAATCCATCTTGGAGGTAACATTTGAACCTTATTCTGGTTTTACTGATTTTTATGTTATGTAAAAATGCAAGGTGTTGTTACAAGTCAAATCACAAGCCAGTCTTATCTGTAATCTTCTCTTTGCTTATAAACAGTTGTAGAAGGATAGGGAGGGATATAAACAAAAGGCTTACACAGTGATTTTGCATTAGGGTAACTTACACAAGCATCCAGCAATCTGTTTTAGTTGAATCTGGTCCACAGTAGACCTTACCCTCCATATATTTGTCTTAGTCGTAATTTTTCTGTACTTCTGACCTGAAAAATGCCCCAGGATAGTGAGTTCCATAATTATGTTATACAAAGAAAGGTTAAAAATTTAAAAAAAGCTGGGGGGAAAGTTGTTTTAAATCTGGTTACCTGATAATTCCATTTTGAAACTTTTATTTATTTTGTTGTCAGGAACAGTTGTTTGGATTTTTTCTTCCTTGCTGTCTGTGCACTACTCATGATTTTTCAGGTTCTACTGTGGTTTTTGTTCTGTGGTTATGTTCACCTTCCTTGTGTTCACAATGTTCAATGGTTTGTCTTCTACTACAGCCTGAGCTGGCATAATCAAAATTGCAGAGTAGTCATAGTCCAAGCATACTGTGAAGTGTGTACGTCCTAATTGCAGCTCATACTTTGTTACTCTGCTGTTTTCTTTCACAGCATTCTGGGCCTAAATCCTGTTTTGAGTATCTCTAGGAACAGGATCATCAGCCAGATTTACAGCTGATCTCATCCACGTCACCTGCAGTAACTAGTGCTGGGCAAACGATTTTTCCAAATCACAATGACAGTGATGCCAACCATTCTGTGCTGATGAGTTGACACCTGGCCTATGCAGTATGTGAAAAAGGTAAATTTCATCTTTGTCACATGGTTTGAAATCCTGCCCTCCCAAAAGTTCAGTAACTTCTCATAAATGATTGTGTAGTACTTCTAAATTAATATAAATTTTTAGATATGTACAATCAAAAGACAGCTTGCAAATTACTGTTGCAGAAAGTGTACAGCAATGCATACGCTCCCCTAGAACCAGCAGTCATTCACAAACACTTCAAGCATCCTCACATTTGAGTTTCTCATAAGTAAGAATCTCAGGCAACAAGAGTACTTGTAGGAGGAAAATATGTCACTTCTTCGAGTGAGCTATGTGAACATGGCCTACAAACTTGGTAGGGCATGAAAATAATCCTCACTTCTTAGTGTTGTATCCCCATCTTCATATGCCAGTCTGGACTGACACTTTTGAAGAAGTCATTAAATAATCTTTAGTAGAAGGTTATAATTCATTGAAAGACAACTTTCTAGTAGGTTGTCTCTGTATCTTCAGCCCAGGAAAATTATAGTTGGACAGAAACTTCTCATGGAGCAACAACTCTGAGCTGGATCAAAATGATTCGAAGAACAAATGCAAATGTTGTAAACACATTTCTGTTAGAGCAAAACCTTCCCACCACAGAATTACCAAAACCCACACCCACTCCTGCATGTACATACCAGCACATGCATCAGCCAGGCTGCGAGATACATCCAAAAGGTATTGCATGTGTGATGCCAAATATACATTGCCCTGATGAGAGATGCACTGTGGTATTTTTAGAAGGTAAGAAAAGAAAAAAAAAAAGTCTAAAAAGAGACAGAAAGAAAATCAAGGATAAGGAAATGAAAAAGACTGGATCCTTTTGGTTTTACATAATGCTGTGCTTCTTGGAATCAAACCTACTCTAGAAACACATTATTTCTGCAAGCCAATCTTTGCTTTGCTTTGAGTTTCTTTCAGGAGGATGTGAAATGCAATATTCTGAACTCTAATCATTGTGGCCAGTTATAAAGTCCACATAAAAATAGTAATAAGGTTAAGTAGCCAGAGATCCAGATTGATCCAGTTGTTATAGAATGCAATCCACATTCTACATAGAATATGTGCAACAATGCCAGTTTTCTTTAGATTTTGCTACATTTTCAGCATGGCGGGATCCCTTTGCATCTTGACTTCATCATCCACTGAAAGTTCTGGTTTTTAGACTTGACCTTTTCCAACGTTTGAGGAGGTCAGTCATCCTTTGAGGAGGATGACTGACTCCAGGCAGCTGATGAGTGTACAGAATAGGCGTTTTCTTGTTGGGTTTGTGTGGTTGACCTCTGCCCTGCCTGCTGATTCCTATAATACAGATCAGTGACCACTGAAGCCAGAATGCTCCCTGCCTGTCTCTGTTATAGACACCTCAGTAAGGAACAGAAAAGAGGAAGAGGGCTGAGCTTGAAAGCCCTTACTTAATTGCTAGTAGAAAAAATGGGTAATAAGAATGACCTTGCACCTTATTTATTGACCAGATCTCTGTGAGGACAAAGTACTTGACTTGGTTCTGTATCACTTGAAAGGCTGGCTCTGTGGCCCATAGCTGATGAGTAGGCGTAATAATATAGGGTAATTAAATTTTGCACTTACATGTGAGGGAGGATTTCCCTCTCAAAAATAGCAGGCTGTTTTCTTCATGATCACAAAATTTTAAGCTAAATTTGAAGAAGCAGAAATTTGCCATTTGCCGTCTTCCACTTACTTGATAGCCCAAGGTGCAGGAGGCTATGTATGAAAAGGCAGGAAGAGAGCTCACTAGCTACACGAGAATGCAGGATGAGACCAGCAGAGCAACCCAAATGGGCACAGGTGCTCAGACTGCCTGGTTTTGTATATATATGTGTGTGTGTGTATGTATTGATTACTATTGATTATCCCAAATTGCCTTTCAGAGAAAGCAATGGCACCTGTCTTTCTCTTGTATTCTGCATGGATCAGCTTGTCACCCTGTCTTAGGTTTTCCCCCTGCTTTGCACCCTGAAGCCAGATAGCACACGTGAAAATGGGACAGATTGCTTCTGTTGAGGCCCGTTGTGGGAAGAATCAGGGTGAGCCCTGATTTGCAGAACAAATCAGTTTGTAATCAGCTGCACAGGAGGTAAATGGATCTGCAGGCTATGAGTATCCTTACAGGATCAGCTCTGATATTTTGCTCAATATGAGCTTGTAATCAAAAATTAGGGAAAATGTCTTGCTGAAAAATATTTGGTTGATGATGGTTTCTGAAGAAAGTGTCAGGTTGAAAATTAGAGGAACTATGTGTCTTTCTTTGCCTTGTTTTGATAAGAGAGCTTGAGCTGGGATCTCTTACCCACCTCACAACTCATGCTTTTAATAATTTTGTGAGAATCTTTAGAAACCTGTCCTGTGAGACCCAGCACATGATCCTTTACATGAGAACTGACAGGACCTTGTTCACACACATGCTGCTTCCCAGCCTGAACTCTGGGGCAGACCCATGGCAAGGCCTCACTGGAGAAAAGCCTATGCCAGGTGCAGCATTTCTCTAAGGGCAGCTCGCAGCAAGCCTCAGCAGAGACTTGAGGCAAATCTTTGCAGCCAGACGTTTGGGTTTGATTGTGCATTTCTGCGTCGAAGCATGAGTACCTGTGTACCGCTGGAGATGACAGAGGACAAGACAGTCTAGAGAGCTGAGTTCAGGTTTCCACCATGCAGGTGGACAATGGAGATGGAGAAAGGATGGAGAAGGCCCATGTCCCCAGCACCGTGTGGCTGATGCCCAGCTACTGGCCCCGTGCCACGTAGCTGGGCCCCAGCGACTGGATTGCTTTTCTGGCTGTTCCTCCCTGTCCCCCTTCTCCTGCCGGTGCCCGAGAGGCGGCTCCCTGTCCGTCTGCGGCGCAGGGAGTGCTGACTGCCGCTCGTTAGAAGAATTCCCCCAAGTCAGACCTATGGTACGAGCCGTGTGAAGCGGAAGACAATTAGGGGCTTATTAGTGTCCTGGGGAGACGTGTAACTTGTGTTGCTGGGACTTACCAAAACAGCGAGAGTCTTACCGGCAAGCTCCAGCCGAGAAAAGACTGAGGGATTGTCTCACCTAATTACGGGGAATGGGCCTCTTTGTGTTTGTGATTCGGTACGGTTGTCCGATCGCTTTTCTCTGGCTGCTGGCTCAGGCCGAGCTGGAAGTGTGCTAATTAGAAGAGAAATGGACGTAGTGATCCTGTCAGCTCTCGTTACCGGCGTGCACAAAGCCGAATATTATTCTGAGGCAGTGTTTTGTGAGTGTCCCTCTTCCAGCTCTCATTAAGGGCAAGGTTGGTGGACGGAGAGGGGACTTGACCACATGGGTTGGCTAATGGAGCACAGTTACCGTTACTGTGCTAATTAACGGGCTCAGGAGGCAAATGTTTCTCCAACCAGCAGTCCCAGCAGCTGCACCTGGTGCTTCCAAAACCCAACCATCTTGCTGGGCAAGCCAGGCACACACTGTGTGTATGAGCAGAAAGGGGGTTATGTGCGATGCATCCATCAGCCATCCAAAAGTGCAGAACCAGTAAAATGGTCATCAGAGGGATGGAAAGGACATAATGCTGCAGTAGCAGCAGGTCAAGCTCCAGCAGTCCCTTCTCCCCAGTGACCTTTCACATAGAGCACTATGTGTCAGCTTCTGCCCATGGAAAGTGGGTAGCAAGGAGAGAGCTGAGGAATTGCCAGGACTTCCAGGTGCCATCAAGAAAGAAATCTCCTGAGACTTGTTACGATCATCACAGCTCTTAATGTGGCCAGGAAGGGGAAAGCTGGAAAGATGAGAGGTGACATGGAGGTGAATCTGACTATCCCTCTCTGTGTTGAAGATGGTCTGAGGTGAAAAGCAAGATGTGCATACATATCAGGATGATTGTTCTGCTCCAAAAACCAGTTAGGCAACATTGAAATGATGCACAAAAGTTAATGTAAGTGAAGATGATGACCAAAGGAGCCATAGAAAATGCTAAAATCAAAATG